CACCATGGTCAAAGGTCACTGTAGTCACCATGAACATATTATTGTGGTAACTATACAATTAGAGTCACATTTTTGTTCATTTTTTATTTATTTCAGCCATATGTCTCAATACTTCTAATCATTATTTTATAATTCTTCTCTTGTTTTCCCGTGATAAATGTTAAGATATGCAAAATCACGGATGGGAATGCGCAGCAAGAAGTCCAGATAAGAAAATCCGATGCTGCTGAGTTTAAGATTTGTATTTTCGTACTCTTGGTTGAAAGCTAGATTGCAGTCACTACCGACTGCCCTGCTGATGAAAGGTAAAAGAATCGAGTATATGTGAGGAATGGAAGTGGGCATTGAGAATGTGGGGCTGATATCGGTGTGATATGTTCATTGCTCAACAAACCGGATTATTGTTTGAAGTAAACATGAAATAGAAATAGTGATACCATGTTTTTTGTTTTGCATTGTGTCAGCTAGCCTATCGTATATAATGTGTTTCTTTGTTCAACTTTTCAAGTGAAGGCCCAGCTGGTATGAAAGCTTATTTGAAAAACATGGGCTTTTCGAAACGTTGATCATATGATAAGAGAGTAACGTCTAGAAAAAGCTGGACTCAAATGAATAATAAATTGTTTCGTAGTCTTGTCCCTAAAACCTTATATTGAAGAGAAAATTATGGTCACATAAAAAATTACTTGGTTTTCTATTTGTACCCTTGGTCCATGGTTCCACGAACCTTTGCATTCTCCTCATGCTATTGCGTACCACAAGTTGTGTGCTAAATTGCTAATGAAATTGTGGTTCTGTTATATAGTTTCAATTAGATACTATAGACTAGTATATAGCTTTGCGTACCATGGCGACTATATAGTAAAATTAAAAAGTATGAACATCGAGTTCACTAGTTAAGTTTGAAACAATAATCCTGGAGCCTGTATGATTAGTCTTCCCGCAAATTTCAATTATTGAGTTCTGAATAATGATTTTGTGTAATGTTGGTATGTTGCCCCTTTAACATATTTTTCATTAGTAGTCTTACTAATGTATAAAATGATAAAGATATATAATCCACAAATTGAATTGCTTTCAATCTTCTAATAATTCTGTATATTCTAACGTTAAAATGTTGTACTAGTATATTGATTTGCTTTCTAACGTGTATTTTATTCTTTTCAACAAATCTATAAACTTATAGATTTTCTAGATGTGGACGCTATAACTTAACGTTGTTGATCGCTTTCCAAATGAATGAGACACGAAGTGTAAACTAGGGTTGGATTCGGTTCGGGCCACCCGGCCCGTGACCTGGCCCGGCCCGTGACCCGGCCCGGCCCGGTCGGGCGGTCCGGGACCGGGTATGGGCCCGAACCGGTGGGAAGGGGCGGGGTGGGGCGGGCTCGGTGTTGGAATAATGTGACCCGGCCCGGCTAGGTCGGGCTCGGGCCCGGTCTTATTTTAAATTTTTTGTTTTGTTTGGGCTCTTGGGCTACTAGCCGTTGGGGGTGGGGCTGGGGACAACCCAAACGGCTATATAGCCGTTGGGTGGGGTAAAGGGGGGGTTCGGGGGGGGGGGGGGGGGGGGTTGGCTGGTGGGGTGGGGGTGGGGGGGTAAAAAACCCTATAAATACTCCTAATCTTAAACATTTTTTCATATCTCTTCTCCAATTCTTCCTAAATCCTATTCTTAACTCTCTAATTCTCTTATTCTCCAATATATTATATTTATTATTTATATATCTACTTTATAGTTTATACTTAAGAAGTTAAGATGGAAAATCAAGATGCCATTATACGGTATAATTTTGATAAGCAGAAGGACCCGAAGACCGGGATGTGGTACGCAATTTGCAAATGGTGCGAGAAAAAAGGTAGCATGGGGGCTTCAGGTGGATTCAGGATGGCAATCAAGCATATGAAGTCATGTGACAAAGCCAAAGGATCGAGAGGTGCGGGAAGTTCCGATTGATTACAATTTTCAAAATGTTTCTCTTAAAGTTTGTTTTAATTTTCAAATGTAGTTCCTATTTCATTTCAAATAAATGCAATTGAAGTTTGTTTTTAATACTCGTATAAAACTATAAACTATAAAATATAAATTATAAAAAAAAAATTAACCGGCCCGAACCGGACCCGACCCGTGACCCGGGTGGCCCGGCCCGAACCGGACCCGTCCAACCCTCGGGCCGGTCCCAGACCCATGTCATACAACCCGGCGGCCCGGCCCGGGCCCAGGCCCGGCCCGGGCCCGACCCGGCCCGAGTCCATCAATAGTGTAAACTCGTTATCACAGAAGTGATCTACCCGTCCCGACTCCCGACTTCCCGAGTTATTAAGAAATGCATTACATGGTTTATAGACTATATATTATGGAGTATTAACTTGGTCCAACTATATATTATTAACTTAAGGTTATGTTTGGTTGGCATAACTCATACTATTTAAAAAGTCTTTAAAAGATTTTAGTTGTATGTTTGGCACGTCAATTTTTAAGAACTTTTATAAAAATAAAAGATCTTTTTTGAGATGCTACAGTGAGTAACATCTCATATAAGTCCGTAGCTTCTAGCATTAATTAGTTCTAACAACTTATATACCAAATATAGCTAAATCAAACAGTCAACTTTTTATCAAGTAGCTATTGCTTTTTCTTTTTAAGTTCTTTTCAGTAATTAAAAGATAACAGTTAATAAAAAGCTATATTAGAACCAAGAATTTATGGTTCTAGTTAATTCTCTCTCCTCTGCACAAAGATCGACTACAAATTTTTTACATTAGTAGTATCCATAATTGTTAAACTTCTAAAATGTATTCAAGGAATGTTTGGTTCAAGGAATGTCAGATTACCATGAGAATGCCATATTGTAGGTAAGTTATATTGATGAGAATGTATTCAATTGATTCCTATTTATGTTTGGTTAACATCTAAGGGAATGTGTCATAATTTATTTGGTTGAAATATATCTTATATTGCAGATATGATGAATCACTTTTATGCCCTTTAACTCTTATAACATAAATACCTTAAAAAACTTATATGTTAAGGCAAACATATATGCAAATAACAAGAATAGACATTCTAATATAATTAATACTCTGTCCGCCCCACCTAAAAGGTTGTTACACAATTTATGATGTTCAACTGACCATGAAACTAACCGATTTCTGTCAATAATAAGATTATTTTTAGTAAATAAAATTTACATATTTAGAAAATACATTAAAAATTTTATAAAGTCACAAAATATTAAATTTGATAACAGTTGAATATATAAAGAAATTAAATGAAAAGAGATAAAGTAATTGCCCCATATAGGACTAAAAGAGGGGAGGAATTCTGAAATAGGACCATGTATGTTTTTTCCCCCAAATAGGACTATTTTACTCCTATTTTAAAACATACGTATATTTCATTCCATTTTTACCCCTTAACCCGTTTACGCACATCTTCCATTGCGCACAACCTCTTCCCCCTTTCTTTCCTGCGCACATCCTTCTCTTTCTTCCTTGCGCATCATCGATCGATTTCACCCAGGCCATCGCCGCCGCCGACTTCGCCCTACGCATCAGATCGACCGAGCTTTCTCTCACGCCGCCGATTTCGCCGCTGGCATTAAGGTTCTTCTTCTTCTTCTTCTTCTTTTTCTTCTTTCTTTCTTTCTTTCTTTCTTTCTTTCTTTCTTTCTTTCTTTCTTCCTCTTCTTCATTTTTCCTCTATTTTTCTTGATTTGGAATTGAATTTTCCAATTTTCGGACTTCTGTTTTGATTTTCTGATTTCTAGTTTCGAAGTTTTAAAACAAATTCTGATTTTCAACATTTTGGATGATTGCTTTGGATTTGGCCAAGTTTATGGCAGAAATCTATACATTAACATCATATTATGGCAGAAATGCTTTTGTATAAATTGGTTTTTCTGATTTTTTTCAATACCTTCGTTTTTCTAATTTCCGATTGTGCTAAGAAAATTATTCCACTAAAAAAATTAGTTGTTTGAATATTTGGTTATTTACTTCATGTTTTTCACTTTTTGTCTAATTTATGGCAGTTTTATGTTAATATTCCAACATGAATCTGCCAACGAGTTGGCAGATCTGAAACTCTTGTGTTATGGTAGATGTGGATCTAATCCCCAACTCTAAATCTGCCAAAATAATGGAAGATTTATTCCGCCTGAATTCTGGTGCTCAGAGGATGGCGGTGGTGGTGGATGGCAACGCCGGTTAGATGGCGATGGCAGGGATGGTGACGCCAGTGTGGGAAGCGGCGTCGTCAGGAAGGCGATGGGTGACAATGATGCGCTGGCAAGGATGCGGCGACAGGCGGCGAGGGCGGCTACAGGCGGCGCATTCGCCGATGAGGGCGGCGACTGGCGGTGCCGTCTCTAGTGAGGGCGGAGGCAAGATGCGCCGGCGGGAGGTTTGGCTCTGGCGGCGGCAGTGTTACTGCTAGGGTTTCAATAGTTTTTAATTTTAGTATTTTACATTTTTAAAATTTAAAATATTAAAAGAGGGGTATTTGTGTCCAATGTTCTGAAAATGGTCATATGAAACTTGTGTTTTGTTTATTGTCCTAAATGTGCAATTAACTTTGCTATTAGTCCTATTTGAGGCATTAACTCAAAGAGATAATTAGTTATAGGTATTTTCGAAAGAAAATTAAATCACCCTTGAGAATGTGAGATAACCTAAGAAATGAATGTGTTTAACATTCTCCTCCATATAACAATACCGGAAATGAAAATTTCCCGATTTTTCTTAAAATCCGTGAACCAAACAAGGATATCTAACATTCCGTGCGTCACATTCACAATGAACTAAACTCGTGAACTAAACGGGCCCTAAATGTCAAAGATTTGAGATTGGGAATGGGATGAGAGTATTTCATAACGGAATCACGCATCCCCTAGAATATAGGTCAGCCAGAATAGGTCACCGTGTCGGTGCTTTATGTATTTTGTTATGTCAGACGGTACTATAAATATAAATTAATTATTCCGTGTCCTTCCATTCCACCCCAACCTCTGGATGGATGGGGTTTCTCCTCTCTCCCTCATCAACCAAAGCCTCCTAATCAAATTCCTTACATATTACGGACACGTCTTTCTCTAGAGAGAGAATAATAATACTAATAAAATGTTGGACGGCGGGCGGCGCGGCGGTGGATGTTGCTCCGGGAGGAAGAGAAAGGACCGACCCTACAAAGGGATTCGCATGAGGAAGTGGGGGAAGTGGGTCGCCGAAATCCGGGAGCCCAACAAGCGCTCCCGGATATGGCTCGGCTCCTACTCCTCCCCGCTCGCCGCGGCCCGGGCCTACGACACCGCCGTCTACTACCTCCGCGGGCCGTCTTCGAGGTTGAATTTCCCGGAGTTTTTCTCTAGTGACGGCGAAAGGCCTGCCGATTTATCCACCGACTTGATCCGCAAGAAAGCAATCGATGTGGGCGTCAGAGTGGACGCCGTTCAAAACTCCCTCGGCGGCGGCGGAGGCGAGGGCCAAGCCAGCCCGCCGGCCCAATCGACCGTGAAGCTGGACTTGAACGCCCAGCCCGAACCCGAAGAGCCGAATCTGAATTACGGCTAAGTTGCATCTGCTCATCCATCAACTTCTTTCTTCATATGATCAAAAGCTTTTCACTTTGAGCTGATATTTTAATTTACTGTCAAAAGGAATAAATAAATTATCTCATATGCATTCAGTTCCGCGAAATTAATTTGTCCTTCACTTCGACCACTCCCCAGTTTTGGGTTTAACCCGGGCTTAGCCGAACAGCACTTCCGGTCCATTCAGACGGATGGAATGAAGAAAATTCTTGAAATAGGATTAATAGCCATAGGGAGTATATTTAACAACATAATCATACGTTCTTCGTATTTATTACAACAATTCAACAATAATGGTGAGTTATACTTATTATTTACTAGGTGTAATAATTATATACCCCATAGTCCCATACGTTCTTTAAAAAACTCCCCTCTTATCTCTAAATATGGTATATTTTCCCTATTACGTAAATAAATTTATAATTTATTTAAGTCTCTTTGAATAATAAATAATAATGATAGTTTAATGTAAAATAAAACAATGTTAATTAGTGTTAAGTGAAGAGATCATTTTCCTTAGTGTTAAGTGAAGAGATTAAGGGCAACTTTGATAGGGATAAGTCTATATCTTCTAGTTTAGTTTTTGTATTATTTAAAAAATATTTAAAAGTTTTTAATTGAATGTCTGACATGACAACTCCTAAATTCTTTTTTGGAATGCGGCTCTAACTTTTGACATTAATTAATGAGGTAAGGGTCACTTTGGTCCTCGAAGTTGCATAAAAGGGATCAAATAAGTCCTTACAACGTCTTTACTGTCCGGCCGTCGCCATTTGAGGCAGTAACCGGTGAAATTTTTTGATGAATTTTTTTGATCATCTTATTCATTAAGTCTAGTTTACTCATACCAAATTTCAGTCAAAACTTAAATCGAGAAGGCATTCAAATGAAGTCTTAAAGATAACTGCGCTTTTAACTACGTAGTTATCTTGAAGACTTCATTTGAATTCCTTCCCGATTTAAATTTTATCTGAAATTTGGTATGAGTAAACTAGATTTAATGAATAAGATGCTCAAAATTTTTTATCAAAAAACTCCCTTGAGAACCGCCCCAAATGACGTCTCCCGCACAGTAAGGACGTTATAAGGACTTATTTGACCCCTTTTATGCAACTTCGAGGACCAAACTGACCCTTACCTCATTAATTAACCCCAAGAACTTTTGACATTAATTCTTTTTATCAAACAATTATCAGTTTTTTTTTTATTTTAAGATCCCTAACTCACTAAAAGCTAACAATTATTAAAAAGTTCATAAGTGTATCTTTTCATCAAGTTATGCTAAACGCGCTCTAAATAGGGACGGAAAGAATACTATTTAATACGTAGTATTAAATACTATTTAATACTATTTAATACGTAGTACTTCGTTTTTGTCAAATATTACAAGGTATATATTTAGTGGTTATTATGTTTATGTATACAGAATATTGATATTTTATCAATCCATGACCGAATTGATAGACGAAACATCAATTCGGAACCTGAAAGATGAAATGTATCGTTATAGGATCCGAATGATGAAAAGCTATCAATCTAGGGTCCAAATAATTGAAAACTATCAATTTAGGACCTAAGTTTTCATAAATATTACTCCCTCCGTGACCCCGTCCCATATTTATCTTCGTAGTTCGGTTTACGATGATTGACTGACGATAAAGCAACTTGATCCCCGTTCACACTCAGATTATTATTAGTAAATTAAATTTACATATTAAGAAACTACATTAAATCCGCTACAAAGTCTGATCAAGAAAATTTAAGTTTGATAAAATTTTGATATATAAAGTAAAGGATTAAGAGTAATTTGAGTTGACCATGTGAATAGTAACTATGAAGATAAATATGGGACGGAGGGAGTACTACCTCTGTCCCTTAAAACTTTGCCAAAGTTGACCGGCACGGAGAATAATAAAGTAAAAATTGTGTAGTTGAGGTTTGTACAGAGGAGAGAGAAATAATAGAAACCACAAAATAGTTGATCAAAAGGGAAAGTGGAAAAGTTTTTTGAGACGTCCCAAAAAGGAAAGATGGCAAAGTTTTAAGGGACAAAGGGAGTATTATTATTTTTTTTAAAAAAATTAATTAATATTTGGTTTAATTAAACTAATAAACTTTTGTAAAGAAAATTTCACCAAATATTAGCAATGGAATTAATAAAAAATTAAATAAATCAAAACCTATGAAACGTTAGGTCCATGCATATTACTAAATTAAATAAAAGACAAGAATATGACTTACATACCTTATTTTTGCTGCAAATAATGACATATTCAATGACTAATTTTCAGTGACTCATCATCAATCAGTGTTTTGTCACTATGAAATATATTATAGTGACTCTTGTTTAGTTACCGTACACAGTGACTAATAATATTTTTGTCTAAACACATAACTAGTTATATTTTTGTCCGGAAATAACTCTATAAAAAGTTAACAATTATTAAAAAGTTCATAAACATATCTTTTCAACTAGTTGTACCAAACACACTCTAAGTAGGGACGGAAGGAGTACTATTTAATATGTAGTACTTTATTTTTCTCAAATATTAAATTTATTAGTAGGAAACTCTATAAGTAATATACATGTCATTTTTATATATTAAATAACCTTGAAAGTAGGTTATAAGTTTAACAAAACAAATGATTCTAGAATCGGTCATGATCCTTTGAATAAGATTGAAAATCAATCGCCCTACTAAAAGTATGTTTCGCAGAATATGACATAGGAATAGGGTGAGTAAAAATATCGAAAAATCGGTATACCACACTTACCGTACCGAAAAATATCGGAAAATACCGGAGACCATTGTTAACCAGTACGACATTCGGCTACATGGCGATTTCTCCTATACTTTTGATTGTTCAGTAGTAGAGAATATTATGAATAAGGAGACAGGAGAGGAGGAAGACACAGTAATGTCAGTCCGTCCCGTTCCCGAACACCCATTATGGAAAAATCGTGTGATTAGAGTTTGAAAGATGTTCTTTCAAGTTTGGATTTATTTTAATTATCTTGCTCTTATTTTTATTTATCAGTTCGAACTGATTGTTGTTTTGGTTGTTTTCATTATTTTCTACTAGCAGAACTCTAGAGCTTAGGTTAGGTGTTGAAAGGCCTATTGTGTCATTGGCTCAATTAAGCCCATTATAAGATCAACGAGTCATATTGGTTTTTTGGATGTGATAGACTTTGAGTCTGATTCGGGGGGCAGACGGTCGGAAAGAGACTGTTGAGGTTTTGTCCCGTAGATCCGAAAGCCCAACATAAACTCTAGATATTAGAGACAGTGAATTTGGTATAAAAGTAAATAAGGAATATAAAAGTGAAAGTGTATGAACTAGCTATTTTTATGTGGAAACCCGGAAAGGGAGAAAATCACGGGACTTTTTAGGCTAACATCCAAACCCGCTCTTTCTCATTAATCTGCTCACCTCACAAATTACATTGTACAAATATTTTATCTGCATTAATGGAGTTTTCTGGCTATTTTCTAAAGAGGAAGATAAAGCATGGAGGAAGGAGAAGAAATCTCCCGGGAGAGAAGAGCCAAAGGTCAGATCTCTAATATGGAAGCCAAGCTTCCTATTTATAGAAGGGGGATGGGGGCTTCCTAGCCTAATAGGCCGGACGGCCTTATCGGGCCGATACGGGCCGGGCAGGCCGAGTGGGCCTCAATGGCTCTTAATGGGCCTAAATGGGCCTCGCCGACTGGGTTCTGTACTGGGGCAATGCCTTGGGCTTCTGAACAGTAATAAGCCGGAATAATATTCCCCAACAAGGACTTTATGTCTTTGGAGAAATTGATCGTAATAATCCCAACTATTGGCGGTCCGCTTATAATAATCCCAACTATCGATTATCTCAAAATAATCCCAACTATAGTGACCCTCCGCCAATAATGGTCCATGACCAGATATGACCTGCTATAACAAGTGAATTTTAAATAGAAAAAGCGTAAAAATTAAAAGTTGAATTATTTATAGGGATTACTTGTTATATCTCTTCTCATCCACTTTAGAAACTATATGAATTTATTTATAGCCGGTCATGTCGGACCATTATTGGCGGAAGGTCACTAAAGTTGGGATTATTCTGAGATAATCGATAGTTGGGATTATTATAAGCGGACCGACAATAGTTGAGATTATTAGAATCAATTTTTCCTATGTCTTTTGTATCTTGCCTGAATTCTGAGTATTCAATATAAGCCATTTTGTTTTTAAAAAAGTACTCTATTCTTCCCATAAATTAGTTCACGCATTGACTTGGATCGGTGCTTAAGAAAGTGAGAATAAAGTGAAAATGTATGATTGTGGTTGTGTAACAAAAATGTAAATGAATGTGGCATGAGCCATACAAAATTTTTCAAAAAAGAAAATGAGAACCATTTTTTGGGATGACCCAAAAATAAAAGTGAGAACTATTTTACGGGACGGAGAGAGTACATGATTATAATAACAAATAGTTTTATAACTACTTATTCATTAACTACTTAATTATAATATCTAGTTATAAAATAATTAGCAACCCCATATAGCATTGGAGACTTTCCTTTTTTGGTAAAATTTTCACTTTCTCATTTAATCAATTAATTCATGGTTTTTATAATTTCTTTCTCCTCTGTAACCTGTACAAACATCACAAACATCAATCACATTATTTTTTTTACTATTTCATGCGGTCATACTTGACAAAATTTGAACAGACGGATGATTAGTTATATTACATTTTTTGAGAACTTTTAATTTTGAATAATCTTATTAATTTCAATTAGGCTGAAATTCTATGGTATGGTATGATTTGATAAATGTTTGATCTCTGTGTATGTTATAACTGTCCATGTCTAGTCTAGTCTGGTTTGTCTAAATATGGCCTGGAACTAAAAATAGTCCAAATGAAAACATCCTTATTACTCAATCTAATGTATAAGAACTAACTAAATGTTCAAATATAGAAATATGGAACTGATTTGGAATCGGACGGGGTCGAAAACAATTGTTTATACACCAGCTTAGACGCCTATTTATACTGTGAAATAATAAAAGTGGAAAATAATGGCTTACCTGACTGATAGCCCTAGTATGATATTTATACTAATAAGATAATAAAGTATTTACACAGAGG